TGTGATGTCACGGGAGGAAACACTTAAACCTCCTTCACTCTGCATGACGTTCTTGGTTTCTCTAAATGTGACACATTCCTCAAACTTTGACCTTTCTCTCTGGCTCACCCTTCTACGCCCATGGCCCTAACCTCTCACCTAACGTGGCTTCTCACCTTCCACACTAATCCCATCCCCCCCCCCCCCCCCCCCCCCCCCCCCCCACACCACCCCGCCCCCCATCCCCAAATAACTGTGAACAACCCTCTAAATACAAATTTAACCAAAGTCAGTTTTATGAACACAGCTATTATTCTTAGTAAATGCAAAGACATTCACATCTTCAAAAAGTGATGCAGTTTAACACTACTGTACAGTCTAAATTTGAATGTATTTATTTTAATGGGAACAATGCAATTTAACATAATTTCAATACAAAGCATGAAACTGATGTGCTGCATAAAGAGTATATAGCTGTTGCTAATTTCCAACTCGTGTCCCCAGTTGGGCCTTTGTCTAAACAAAAAGATTAAAATGTACAACATTCGGTTACATAAAACACTCTATGAGGATACATTAAAATACATGTACAACAATACAAATGCTATAAACCCCTGTCTAGCTAAAATGCTGGCTAGCTAGCTATCCGACTACGCTGTTAAAACTTAAATAGCTGCTTCAGTTTTTTTGCAGACTTTTAAATCTTCCCATATATTTGTTTTTAATTACATGATGAGACTAATGTTTAAATATCTTTACAATGCAGTAGATGACTACTTACATGACATCCTGCCAAAGGCTAATAGCTTATGCTAACAGTGGAGTGTGCAGCTAGTTTAGGGTGACAATACGTCCCGATTTCACTGTCGCATTTTGAAGCTCTGTGGCCCGAATCCCCTCAAATATCTAAGAAGAACTACTAAACTATGTCCGGGATTAGAACAGTCCACCACCAACAATGCACCATGCTTGCAGCAATGATTTGTCTCTGTATACGTCTGTAAATGTGAAGGAAGTCAGTGTTTTCCAAAGAGCTCCAGGAGAGTTACGGCTTCCTTGGAATCTGTGGAAGTTCTGTAGCTCGATACACGGTCAAATTAAAGTGTCCCGATTTTTAAGGTTTGAAAATATACGAGGTAGTTGCTACTATAAGTGGCCTAAATGAGAGCTTCTGTTGGGATTTTGAGGTACAGGAATCTCGTAAAACAGCAAAATAGTCAATATGACTTTTAAAGGTACAGACAATGAATACAGCTTAGAGATAAGGTTCCGCTAATCACACTTTTTCACACTTTGATTTGAAGCTTTGATGCTGAATTTCTGTGTGATCACCCAGGACACACACACTGTAAATTATCATGTGGAACAGGTCTGTTTGAGCCGGCGGCGGCTTTGAAGCTGGATTAACGTTTAACCAGACCTTCAAGCGTCAGAGCGTGTTTCTCACAGGACAGAGAGTATGAAAGAGCATCAGGACTTCACAGGAGACTGAAACCTTTCTTTGACAACTCAAACTGATTAAAATAATTTGGAATGGGACCAAACATTGAATTATTTTAAAATAACGAGGAGGTCGGAGCAGGCTGCGCACTAAAGAGGACGGCGATGGTTGTGGGGACGACACAGTCCGATGCTCATCTGCAGAAAGAATGAGTCAAAAATCTAACCTTTGGGAGACTTTTAAGGGACCAAAAAGTAATCTGTTAGATAAAAAAAAGGTATAGTTGTCCCATAGGAACCGGATTTTCTACGTTAAATTTTTAAGTGTCTTGATTTATTTGACTCTATATATCAACTTAATTATTGGGAAATGAATCTTAAATGGGTGCCTGTACTGTCCAAAAAGGCACAACACTGTTTGTTTTTGAGCACGAGGACGACCCCTTTAGGTCAAATCTTCACCCAAAATAAGTCTGCAGCGACCGTTTGCTTCAGGCTTTAAGTTGGATACATGGTGAGCTGCCCTCTCTGAGGAATGTGTGTAATGTATAACTACACAAGTGCAGAGCTGCAGATCATCAATCTCTGCAAAACCACCGTCGACATTCTGCACAAACTGCATCTCTCACCCTCTTCACGTCCATCATCCTTATTATTATGAAGCTGTAATTCATGTCATGCATGCTCTGACGATGCAATCTGTGCATATTCTTCCGAAAGTTTCAAATTGTGTATTTCTGCGTCGGTCCTCCTTCTGTATCACACAGGACAGTTTAGGGATGTTTTGTTGGCCTGCCTGCTTATCTGTGTGGTTTGTGGAGGGATCTCTGCAGTATGTTAAAGGACAAAATGCTGGTTTGGTCTGCCCCAGATGTGCCAAATTTACTTTCGGTTCCTTTTCTAACCCCACTGGTTTTAAATTAGAGCCTTGTCTATATCTGGAAATCTCCCAGATTGTCCGTCGGTTCAGTGTGTTTATGTGTGTGTGTGGGTAAGGCCTGATTTAGAGCAGATGTAGCGTAGATTTCACCCTGCAGCTGAACCTGCTCTGCTAATGGTTTTTTGGCCTTTTTATGCAGCTGGGTGGGCTATTAGCCGAACATGTAGCCTAATATCAAAAACCTTTAACCCTGCTTGCTCAGGGGAAACAAAGTCCTTAAAAAGTAGCTGGAAACAGAAGGCATGCTTCACTACTTACTGTACACTTTTAATTGTGCCCTGTGCTCAGTAATGGCTTACAGTTGTCGACCCATGAAGAGAGGCGATATGAAAGGCTGGAAACCACCCACTAAAAATCACGAGTACAACTCTGATCCATTTTACTACCACATAAACGCAGCAGTGAGCCAGAGGTTCAGCTCCACCGAACAAAGTGAATTAGAGGGCTTATAGCATGTTCTTCATGTTTCATGTATGTAGCATGACGACAGCATGCAGACACATTTCTGGATGTCAAACTCTATCAGAAAACACATCGAGAAAAGGCTTCTGTGTATCTTTTAAAATATGCATGCAAAATACTTGTCACCACTTTTCCTCCATCTAAAAATATATCAGTGCTGACCTTTAAAACCCACTTTGGATCACGATAATAGATTTTATAACTTGCTTTTTCTTCCAACTAAATTCTTTTCTTCTCTTTCTCTAAAAATGTTAACGGCATATCGGCACCAGAAAAAAAAAAAACATGCTGGTGTGGTAAAACCAAAACCACATTCAGACTTCTCATTTGGGTTTGGCAAATTTGATCCTAAAGGGCTGCCACTCTCGAGAGCGCACATTTGTACACAAAAAATAAAAAACATCCTAGAAAAAGAGATTTATAGTCGTAGTGTTTCTGGAATTGTCAGAAATGTAAATACTATCACACCAATCCTGTTTTAATTCTTTAATTTAACACTTTTCTGTCTTCATATGGTGTTAAACCAGACTGTTTTCTTTAAGCTTGGGGACATTTGTCAGGATCATGCAGTGCATTAAAAGCAGAACTGATCTTTTTTTGGAGGATTGGTGACTTAACAAACTGTTAACAAACGCTTTCAGGGGCTGCAGCTTATTCTCACGGGATAGAAAGTAAGAAAAAGTATAATTAACCTCTTTCTGGCTGCAGTGCTTCACCTCTGTGCTCATTACAACATTCTCTGCAGGTAAAAGAATGAAACAAAAAGTCCTCATTAAAATATCGCTGGTGTAGTTATTGGCACTTGGATGATAATCAAATAACATCTAAATAAGATGCATGCACTAAAGCTTTACCTCCCACCAACCAGAAGCATTAAAACCCTTGAAAATGTCCCATCCTGTTCCACCCAATGAGAAGGGCGCAGCGTTCATGGCCCTTAGCAATTAAACACATGTGCCCAAAAATGCGTCAGTAAGGCAGACACTTTTAAATTCCTTCCTTTGGTGATTGTATTTTTAGTGGATTCAAGCAGGAACAGGGAGACGATGATGCAGAGGAAAAGACACAGAAAGCTAACATTAGTTTGCTGCCTGTTGATCGAGGTAAGACGACAACTTTTATTTGCTGCATCTTCAACATATCTGAGAGTGTGTGAGAGGTTCAAGGGTATAAATTAGAGCACGGTTAAATCCATTTTGGTTGAACTGTCCTTTTTCACCATGCGTTTTAGGAATGTGAGTGTCTGTATTTGTGACAGTTGTGTGTTTTTCAAGCGTTGTTTGTCAGTTCACTGAGGTTTAAGGGTGACTCTGCGGAGAAAGAGGGTTTCTATTTTGCCTCTGGGCTCTTTGGATGACAGCAGGATGTGCAGAGGTCAAAGACTTCAAGCTTGAATGTCTTCACTGTGATCAAGCATTCAGAGCTCTTTTGCAGGTTTTTTAAGATTTAAATATTTGTCATCAGAATATAATTATGGAACTTTGTGTTTCCTTTTTAGACTCCTGGCATTTTGTTAAGTTGGTTTTGCACCTTATCTCTATTTGCACTTTTTATTCCGCAAATGCACAGCTTTCCCTGAGGATAAATAATGTTATATATTATCTTACGTTAAAAGTAAAAGTAACTTTGATCATTTTTAAGAATACATTTGATAAAAACAACCTAAATAAATGTCTTGTGTGTTTCTGCTGTTTATGTGACATAAAAGAGGACAGCAGTATTACTGAAGAGACTAATTATATTAATAAGATACGATAAGATAAGATAAGATAATCCTTTATTTATCCCACAATGGGGAAATTTACGTTGTTACAGCAAAGAGCAAAGATTGCAAACAAAAAGTGAACACAGTACAATTTAAATTTAAAAAAAATTAAGAATGTACAAAAAAATAGATAGATACTAAAAAATAGATGAAAAAAAAGGGAAAAAAAGGTGTTAAACTTTGTGTTTTACTCGAAAGAAGGTCTCAATGGAATATTAAAACAATGCAAAATGCATGATATTGACTGCAACGAAAATCATCCACTGTATCACTCAAACTGGCATCAAAGCGCTGATTGGCTGTCGATGTGAGTTGGGCGTGTCGTCACTAACTGTCATAGATTTGATTGGTTGGCTGCGTTAGCTTCTCGTAGTGGGCGGGGCTTCACTGTAGGCTTGCTGTCAGAGAGATAAGTTGGAGCACACGTTTAACAGTGTAACGAGATAACAGTCAGACGTCGTGACACGGGAGTTTAACGCTTCGTTTTCTCTCTCTTAACTCTTTTAAAACATATTACTTGTCGATTGTGGGTGGACTGTTGTCGTTTTAACAACTGAATGTGAGTTTTTCTATCAAAAAATGTGAGCTTTTGAGTGACTTTTTTGACCATGCCGGTGGAGTAAAGCGTGTTTGTCGGAGAGGATTTGAAAGAGGAAATCATCCAGATTTTGAGCAAACAGACCTTTGTGTTTCACTACTTATCCTGTTTCAACCTAACACCTGTTCAGTTTTGGGGGGTTTTTAATGCAGCCGAGTTTGAGTCGAGTGGTTTTCCCCTCAAATGACGTGGAATAGCACGATGAGCAGTGGCTACAGCAGCTTGGAGGAGGACTCCGAAGAGTACTTTTTCACGGCCAGGACCTCTTTCTTCAAGAAACCATCTGGAAAAGTCACAGTGAGCAAGGTAAAAAAACAAAAAAAACACCAAAACCAATGTGCTTCTTTCTTAATTACCGTCCCCTGTAAGGATTATGTGGTGTTGAAACAGGTAGACGAACTCTAAAAGGCAGATTGTCTCTTTTCGAGGGGCGTCGCTCAGAACCTCATAGAAAAATCCGTCAATTTAATATTCATTGCTGTAGTATGACAAGGCAATTTAAATTATACATTCAATTTTGTTTATATGCTCTTGTTTAGAAGTCAAACATGAGTTCGGCATATATTTAGTATTTAAAATGACAGCCATTTAAATAAAATACTCACTTATAGAGTTGGGTCACCTGTCGTTTCCTGTTGGCTTCGTCTAATGATATCCATTGTGGGTGAAGGAAAGGCAGCTTTGTAACTTATAATTTTCTACATTGATATCTGTGCCGAATTTATCAGAGGAGTAAACACATTTGTTTTCTCAACATTTTAAAGTTGTTTCTTTGGCTTTGGCTTGTCCATGAATCAGAAAACATTAAAACCACAGAATTGCTATCCAGGTTTTGCAGCAAGTTAGTGTTTTTTTGTGTGTGTGTGCCTTTGCTTTGCCACTGGAAGATGAAGAGCAGAGTTCATGATTATGTGCATTCATATCTGCGCCGAATTTATTATAAGACCTTTGAGATTGGTTTCAGTCATCTTTTCTATGTTTTGTCTTGGGTCTAGGTTTGCTTAGAAATAGGGAACTTTAAATCAACAAATTTGTTTTGCAAGATTTGCATCTAGTTTCAGGAAGATTAGCATAACAACAGCCAGTCTGTGTCTTAATCCTGTTATGACAGGTTTGACAGGTTTAGCCTATATTTCATCGGACAATAAGGGTTGAGTTTCCCCTTATTGCCTATAGTAATGTCAGTGTCAGAGGTTTTAGATGCTAAAACAATGAATTATAAAAATGCAGGAATAGACACACCTAGATTTAGTTCTGAAACAGCAGCAGAAAGTTTAGAATAAAGATGTAGGAGACTGTGATCATCTGGCCAGTTATTACACCCCCCAAGGTAATCAGGAGGCAACCGCAAAACAAACCTTGTGACCTGTGTTGGCACAAAACACCAGACTTGAAAAGATGCATTCCAACACAGATTTTAAAAGTGTTTATTACCGCTCTCCTCGCCTGCAGTCTTGGAGATTTATGTCTAGATTAGGGCATGGGATTGAGTTAAAACCAAAGACATTCAGCTTTATCATGTCTGGAACTCAAAAATTAGGTCACATTTCAGGTCCTGGAATAAATACCGGCCAGCCACAGACTTCAAGTGGCTCTCACACACACTGATCCACTTGTCCACACGCATGAATTTAAACCCTCACAGTATCTCGGACAGCCTTGCAAACACAGCTGGTTTGTTCCACACTGTAACAGAATTGAGCTATTCTTCTTCTGTGCCCACTTAATGTGCGTGTATGTGTGAGTTGCATGGGTCTCTTGCAGATTCTGCAGCAATGCGTGACCCTTCACTTTCCCATAACAGACCCCTCACTCAGGTCCTCATTCCTCATGGAAGTGTGAGTGATGCACAGTGTGGCCCGTACACGCTGCAGAGGTTATGACCTCTAGTTTCTTAAACTGTCGACCTGAAATGGGACCCTGGCTGCTCTGTGCCGGTTTCCCACATGCCAACAGTAATTACTACCCAAGAAGGGACGTGTCCTTTTGGGAAAAATGTGTGGTGCGGCTGCATGAAATGAGTGGTTCTGTATCAGAAAAATTAACGGTTATGTGTGAGTGAATGTGTATTTTTGTTTTGCAGTGAGTTGAACTTGTATAGAGCGGTGGATTAATGGATTACACAAAATACTGGAGTTGGTGACTAAGCAATACACGCAGTTTATTCTGAATTTAATTGGCATTTTTGTAAACTAACACCAATGTTCGTCTTAAAATGTCAAAGATGGAAGAAGACAACTTTCAAACCAGAATTAGACATTACGTTTCAGTGAAACCAAGGCAGTCAAAATATGCACTCTGCAGTCAATTTCAAGACATTGTTAGCTAGTTTAAGGTTGTTTTATTTGAGATTAAAGGCTGATTCTTGGATTTCTTTGTAACTAATTCAACCTTTTTGTCTGTAGAGTCCCCAAAAAGTATAAAATGTCTTGTCCAAAATAATTTTTCTGCAATTTAATGTGCAAATCAGCCAAAAAGTAAGGTTTGAATCCTGTTTTTTTTGTATGAATAAAACCAAATATAAGGTAGTTTTAGTACTGTTTTGCTGTTTTGGCTTTAACCTATTTGAGCCGACCATTGACCTGATTGACCAAATGACCTTTAACCTCATGGATAGGATGTATTGAAAGCTTTTCTCATACAGAGATGCCACAACAAGCTTTAAAGAAAGCCTGTCATTACTCCAGCTTTGCAGTTTTGCTTTTTAACGCTGAGTCAAACAATGCTGAAACCTGTGAGTTCTTTTGTTTGTATGGTTGAGATCTGAAAGCAAAAGTTAAGTGCATGTAGAGGCACATAAGATAAAAGACTGGGAGTGACGTTACCTTTGGACAATAATAATCAACTTTTAGTGTCTCTCTTCCTACCTGCTGCTTGATTATACGGACATTATATGGATCTGTTTGTGCCTCCTCATTGTTGCTAAAAGTTGAATTAACATCGCCCCTTAATTCTATATTTTCACCTTTTTATATAGCATGGCAAGGTGGAATAAATGCCCAACATTTCCACTCTGAACAGGCAGTTTTCAAATGGCCCTTGTCAACATTGTGAAATGAATTCATTGCAGACCATCGTCTCATTTCAAAGACTAAAGAAAAGCCATTTAAAGTGCACATTGGCTGAAGAAAATGGTGCATTCATGTGTGTTTGTTTGTATGGGTAAGAAAACACGGAAGTGCTCCACCCACCATATCAGTATTGACCTTTTGCAAATGAACTTTTGCACCGAGCGCCTCACAGAGTAACAGTGGTATAGTATCTGTGCACAGCGAGCACCATTCATAATTGTTCAAGTCCAACTGAAATTAAACCGCAGGTAGATGGAGACACTATTTCTTAACAACCAATCAGATCTCGCAGCAGCCTGCAACACAAAACAAAAGACTCACTCATGAATGCAGCGATATTTATCAATTCATTACCTTCAATTTAGCTCTGCACAATAGTGAGGTTTATTGGTGACTACATCGTCCTGCGACCCCGAATAGAAAAAGCAGTTTAGATAAAATCGATGGATAGAAGTTAAAAGTTCTGGTATCAAGACGACCCTATAGCCGAAAGTGGGCAGAAAATCGTCTCAGACCAACCTAGAGTCAGGATGACCCCCCCCCCCCCCCCCCGTCGTTTAATGTCGAGAGGGGGCAAATCAGACCTGAGATCTGCTCACTGCCCCCTCTACTGTAAAGCCATCAAAACAACTTGCCGTTCAACTTTTTAAAAATAAAGGATGCTGCAGCAAGTTTGGTTACTTTTCTTTCATTTTCAAACAGTTTCAAACTGGCAACATTTAACAAACAAGTTTTTTTTCACCCCAAAAACAGATGACACATTGTGATTTTTGTTGGCCCTTTAACCACAGAAGCTCCGGGATACATGAGACATTTCTCATTAAGGAAGCGGGCTGTAGTTTAAACGGGGAAGTGAAGTCTAATGAGGTTTTTGTGCAAACAGAAGAGAGGGAGGACAAACACACAGACTGATGGGTAATAAAACTGATTCTGGATGTTCAAACTGGGAAATGAGATAAAGCAGTAAGGCATACACCCCCATGCACACACTCATATTCATACACACACACACACACACACACACATTGTTGCCCTCGCTCGCCCACTCCTCCACCTTCTCAGTGTGTGAATGGTGTTTCTGTCAGGAAATGTCAGTGGGTCTGTGTGTCTCATGAAAAATGCTCGAGGGTAATCCCACCCAACCCCCCCAGAGTCCACACATGCACACATTAACACACACACACGTGCACACACACACACACACACGGACACACACCGGACAGAAAGCAGCTCAACTTCATTTCAGTTCATCCTCTCAGACTGGAGTCTCTCTGTCGAGTATTTATCGACATGTCTGACTAGGATGTGATATCTGGAGCTCACGGTCATAGCTGCAGCACGTCAACACGTCCTCATGATACAGAATGAATCTGATATTTAACAATATTTTTTAAATTTATAGTGTGTGCAGCTGTTGTCTTCTGTACGTCACACATTAGCTCGGTACAGGACGTCTAATGTCGTTTTGCTCTGACAGTGCTGGTGTTGTGTCTGTTTTTAATGGATGGATGTCAGCAGCTTTGCTCCTCACTTAACGGTGTCAGCTGATCATGAATAAGTTAATATATGGTAGTGTAGGGTAGCTGCTTCATGGGGCTTTCCAAGAAGAAACATGGCTTTCTATTCTACTTCCTATCTGTTCCTGGAAGTTGAGTTTGGACCGTCTCTCTGCGTGCTAATAAAAAACAACTGGGGCTAAGATTTTCAGAAGACTGTTTAATGCAATCACTGCGCTTCAATAGTTTTTTGAAGCCAGGAAGTTGTTCTATGGAAAACGGAAGGCACTTCCTTTATTCAGAGTCCAGTCACACAGATGCGGTTAAAAAAAATAAGTCCGTATGACCTCAGAGACGAGCTGTATCATAAAAGATTAACCCTTCATACTCTCTGGGAGGTTTTCCACAAACATTGCATCAGTCAGTCTGCTCCTTCATGCTGATTTCCCAGCCTTTAAATCAGCTTATGATTTCAGCTGCAGTATTTTATGACCATCATCATCCTGAGTGTGTCACAGAGCCATGAGAGGATCTCTGTATGTGTCAATCTGCAAAAGAGGGGGAAGTGGTATTTACTCATACATCCTACTGTAAACACTTCATCATGATGTTCTCATTAAGTGGAACATGTAGTTCAAACCATTTGATTTAGTGACATCATATTGTAATAAAGAGACGTTGTTTGTTGTTCCACCTCGTCTGCTGACCGCTCGTTACCTCAGCAGATTTATGGTGCAGT